TTGTCCATTCAGCATTTATTTCCTTTGGTGTGTTGTGTGCTATTAAATCCCATAATTTTTCCTTTTTTCAGGATTCATTTCAAGTTTGTATTTCCATACTTGAATAGTTGTTTATTTAGTTTTCATGATCGAATATTTATTTTGCAGCTAGTAGCCATTTCTGCTTCTGTATTTCGAATGCGCTGTACACAACTATGCAGTTTTGTGTTTCGCTTTTGAAGACAGGCTTGGCTTTTTCTTTTTCGGATTATCCAGCGGTAATTTATGGCAGAGTATCTTTTTGTATTTTTTATCCTTGATTGCATATCTCGATATATTTTATGCGTTTAGTTGAAGTAAACATACTCTCGGTCTCATAATCTATTGTTGAAGGTATTCGTGGTTCATTTTTGTTTACTATTATAACTTTGCTAAATCGAGACGAGCAAATGAATAAAACAGAATTAAAGTTCTTACCAATAAAGTGTAATCCAAGCTGCGCATGTAAGGAATACGATCATTATATTAGCAAACACAAAATAACATATTTATTAGGTATTAGAAGAAAAAATATCTAGCGATGATTACAAGCGTTGTTTACTGTCCATTGCATAACGCGAGAAGTGAGTCATACAAGGAGAGAATGTTTTTCTTTCTTTTTGGATCAAGTCCAATTACAGTTAGCGGGGGTGAGGGGGAAATTAATGTCAGAGTGTACAGCTTCATCGCTGTCATTATGAATTGCTCCACATACATTACACATGCTCGTATGTTTTACGCATGCACATGTTGAAAGAAATGTTTGATGAAGTAAACAAATAAATATTAAGTTTTTTTTTTGTAAAATTTGATACCTTTTACAGAGTTGCCAACTCTCCCAATTTAGGCGTGAGACTCCTGATTTTCGACCGGTCTCCCACCAAACCGATTTACAATATATTTCTCCCGACGTTTTCTTTTCTTAAAATTTCTCACGATTTTTATGGAACTTGGCTTAATACATATACTTTGTTATATGAACCCCCCAAAAAAGGGGGGATTTTGGACGTCTGAAAGCAATTGAATTTTATCTAGATTATATCTAAAACAAAACCTTGCGAATCAGATGAGAATTTTTTCTGCTTTGTGAGTGAGAGCATACGTATCCAGAAACGTCCATCTCCAGTTTTCCAATGGGCATCGAGTTCCACTGCGTGTCATCTGGCATATATCAGCCAATGAGCACAAAGCAAGCTCAAGGCTGTTATTTGTATGTTCTTTAGTTAATTTGTTCATCTTGTCCTGAGTTGTGTGAGTACACGTGCCTTCGGGACATAGTTTTAGAAATTATCATCTTTTGTTATCTCTGCGAGAAAGGTGAAATACTCGTGTACATTTCAAAAATCGCACACAGTTGACTTTCCTTCTATTATTTCTTCAAGGAAATGTAAAAAATTTGCAATGTGTACCGTCTGTCGTTGCGATTTTTCGATTTCGCATGGTGGAAGGGCGGATGTTCTCAAACATGTGCATACACAAAAACACAAGGACAACATGAGTTGTTTTGAAAAAAACATAAAATTAATTTTTCCTCCGGAAACAAAGGACCAAATCAGAGAATAGACATTCTGCATTAATAAATGCAGAATGTCCTATTCTCTGCCTTTTTACTGGAGCACAACCTGCCACTGAATGCATCGGATCACGCTGCAGCTTTATTTAGAAAAATGTTTCCCGATAGTGAAATTGCTAAGAAATACTCAAGTGCAAGGACCAAAACACATTGTTGATATTTATTACTATCTTGAAAGTAGTTCTAAAAGGAAAGAAAAATTAAAACAGTTTCAACAGCTGCATTAGTGATAACGCATTAGAGAAACTTTTATTAGCGAAAGCAGGCCTACGTGGCAATTGCTATGAACAAAATTGTGAAGTTTCTTTCTTAACGAAAGCAAAATCTGCCACTGTTCATAACATTTATACGAAAACTGATTAAAGTGTCTTCCCCCCCCCTAAACGATGCAAGTAATAAAAATGTTTTTTATGTGTAAAGTATTTTTGTGTTGCTTGCATTTAAGAATTAGTAACTATTTAAAGTTAATTCATTATTAAAAACTATATTTTTATCATTTAAAAAGTCTTTTTAACGTTGTGAAAAATCTCCTGATTTCTTAAAAAAAGTCTCCTGATTTTTGAGTGTCATAGGTTGGCAAGTATGCTTTTAGATCATAATTGCTTTTTATTTCATAAATTACGGTTAAAATTTTATTGTAAAATTTCTGCATGCCATCTTACCAGATTTAAATTGATATTCTATAATCCGGAAAAAACCTTAACCCAGAAACACCGAAGTCCCGACGATTCTGGATTATGAACTTAGTACTGTATATATCAAATTCAATTAACATTGAGGAGCTAACATTTTGAGAGCTAATTTTTAAAAAACTATTTGTGCGATTTTTACAAAATTTGACAGTCTGGCATAATTTGAGTTGTAGAATCGAAATATGGAAAAGAATAGAATTCTAAAAAAAACTCTGATTTTGTGTCTCAAATATCTAAAATATCTATATTAAAACAATGCCACAGCAAATCGAATACATATCCTAAGTCACTTTCGAGACGAAAAACCCAAGTAGAATTTCGTCAATCGGCCCTGTAGAACAAGAGATATAGAACTGTCCCCCCTTTTTTTTGGTGCAGCAGACATTACTGTAATACTAAATAAAGAATAAAAATGTTTTTTTTTTTTTTTTTTTTTTTTTTGTTTCACTGATGCCCATGTTTGAGTTTTAAAATCTTGTGGTTTCAAGTGCTTGTCTTTGCTTTTGAGCTTTTATTGCAAATTTTGTCTACTAATCTGAGGTTGAACAAATTAATTTAATTTTATATTGCATTTTATTGTCACCTTAGATGGTATAAGGATTAGTGGAGGTTGACTGCTAGTCTGAACTCCATTATGCGAGTTTTCCTACATTAGGCTTGGCTGTAGGCATCACTTTGGATGATGAAACTGCTAAATAACTTTAGGATCTGCCCAGAGACCTCTTTGATCTTTGGTTTTTCTCTCTATAAAGTTTTTTTTTTGGGGGGGGGGATTCAAAGACTGGGCTTATACTATTGTTTAGGGGCCAGAATTAGTCAGTACTTTATGAAAGGATTTCTGTGACTTTTTATGGTCTTACAAGGGCTTTTGACAAGGTTAAATTATTGTTTGCTCATTTTCTTCAAAAAAAAAGACTGTAGATTCCACAAACTGAACTGTATGTGATTTTCAGCAACATAAGAATGTCGAACAGTTGGGCAACTTATAGGCAGTTATAGGTTTTAATAATATTTTAAAGAAGTACTGTATATCCCATGAACTGGTAGCTTAAGCACCACAATGTTGCATTTATTAACAGAAAATATTTTGTATTTTTAATGTCTGGAAATTTACTTTTAAACTGGCAGGCTTTTTTCTTAAAACTGTTTCAGATGTTTAACTGGAAGCTAGTTTGTTTAAGTATTTATAATTTTTTATATTTTGTAAGTTTTTTTAATGTTCTTCTCACTTTTTTAAATTTTTAATAGCAAAATTCTGTGAGGGTTTAAATTGGTTCGAAGTTTGTCACAATTTAAATTTTTAATTGTGCTTAAGAATATCTCTATTACAGTTCAAAGTCTGAAATCCAAGCGTCTAATATCTGGAATGATCTTATATCTAAACTTCCGGATCACCAACCAAAAAAATATAAATAAAATTGCTAAAAAAATTTTTTCTGAAAGCTTTTAGATCTTGTATCACACCCAAAGGTGCTTTTTTTCATTTACATACATTTTCACGTTTGGGCTAAAAATATTTGAAAACAGCCTATCTTTAGAACTTTCGATAGACAATCTTGCACACTGGAGATAAAAATGTTTTTTCCGTAAACTAGTGTTGCCATTGCTCACTTTGAAATCATTGAGTTTGTTAATACCAAATTCGTTAAATTTTCACAGAACTTGAAATACACAATAAAATATTTTAAAATAGCATGTCTTTAAAATTTACGATAAGCAGTCTCACATGCTGGAGATAAAAATGCTTTGTGTCTCCCATACAATGTTGACATTATTACTTTGAAATCATTGAGTTTGTTAATCAAAAATTCGTTAAAGGTTTACAAAATATAAAATACATAATAAAACAAATTCAAAATTGAGGCTCCCAGTTGTCCATATTCAGGTGGAGGACTACATTATTCAAAATTTGATGTCTCTAAGTGCCGTTGTTTTTTTACAATGCGAAAAACAAGCATACATTCAAGCGAATTGTTTATTATTTAATTTCTTAAAATATAATACAGGGCAATAATATTTTGTAGTAACAATTTTAAAACTGATTCTGTCTTTTATAAGGTTTCTGTGCAAAATCCTGTTTTGAGACTAATAGCCCTTCTGGGCGAATGCTCCTTTGGGCATACAAATAAACAGAGTAATGTAAAAACCAGAAAGTTTCCTTATAAAGTCTAGGAATAGAGAGTATAATATTCAACAAAAGGTGGTAAGTGTGCCATAAATGCGATTCCCCCCCCTCTGGTCTAACAGATTCTTGCATGTCACTTTCAAACACTAGCTGGAAGTCCAACAATGCCCTGAGAATAAATTGATTGTAGTTTGCCATTATCACATTTTCAACCTGTAAGTTGTTATGGAAGGGGGTTAGCATTATCTGATTTAAAATCCAGAAATTTCCAAAGTCCTAATGATTCCAGATCTCAGACTTTGTATTGTATTTAATTAGATTGAATTTTTAACAGTTACTCCTGTAAAACTCCATATAAGTATATAGTGATCTTAGTAGATGGAAATGAGATACCTTAAAATGGATGAAGAGTAAGCATTTGTGTTATTTGCAAATTAAAATATTAAATATTTATTTTAGAAAAATGTCTCTGATTGATATTTTATAATGATCAACATTTTATAGTGTATAATATTTGTAAACACTAATTATGAGTAATTTGTTATTTGTAAACACTAATTAAGAGTATATTCATTGTCATTTTGTCTTACAGAATATACTACAAGGTAATTCTCAACAAGGTATTTTAGCTGTTGTGCAGGAAGTTAAAGAGCATTTATTGGAATGGAAAAGTTTGCACAGCAAGATTTCTGAAGAAAAAAGCAATGTGCAAAGTGACCTGGTAATTTTCTTGAAATACCGTAATTTCCGGAAGAAACGCTGCAGCGTTTACGTGTTTAAAACTTAAATTTTCAGCGGGTGCGGCGTTTAGCTGCACTAAAAATAAAATATTTCCTATGATGGTCATTGTACATAGTTTGGATGGCCTTGCCATTGTGCATAGATTGGTGCTGTTCCCACACAAAAGACCACTCAGTTGCTTTTTGCGAACGTTATTTTGTTTACATTCTTTCCTTTGAACGGACCTACATGCCTTATTCACCCTAAACGAGATCTCAGAACAATAACATTCTTTCCCCTTTCAAATCAACATTCTCATCAGTTTGAATAGTCTCTCTCCTCTGCCATTCGATGAATCTTCCAGGACCCATCCTCTTTCCACCCCTGCCTTTTCTGCAATTTTTTTCAAAGGCGGACACGACTCCACCTGCCTCGCAATAATGAACTCTGACGTATTTCCTCTTCAGCATGAATGGATTTTTCTTGGCATTCTGCCAAATACAGATCCCATCAGTTAGGGTACAAGTACTTGTACAGTTTTTAATTAGGGAGCGGAAAATTTTTGAAAATGTCTCTAAACGGCACAGAAGCTATACGTTTCTTACCTTTCATTTATTTTTGAATTATGGTTTCATTTCATGCATTTTTCTTAACTGGTATGTCATATATCAGGACTTAGGTTGAGTTTTTGCATGTATATGGCCCACGACGATGTCACGCGCAATTTAATCTATTGCGGCGTTTCTGTGTAATTTTAATTTTTTCCTGCCATTTTTCTCGAGTGCGGCATTTACGCTGATGCGGCCTTTCTTCCAGAAATTACGGTAGTTATCTCTATGTTTATTAACTGAAATCAAATTTTATGTTAAAAAGGAAGTATATTATTCTCTGTGGCTATATTACCATATTTACTCACATATTTCTTCCTTTTCTGATCTTTACCCACTAGTTTTTCCCATCATATGATTTAGAAACTTATGATTTATTGTATAAGTGTAAAATTTCTGTGCAAATAGAAAAGTGTTTTTTTATAAATAAAAAGAATATTATTGAAATTATACATAATATACTGGTTATCATTAATTAAGGAAAATCATGAAAATGACAATTACTCAAAAAGTTACATGTAGAATTTAATGAAATTGACCTACAATATTCAACACATAGTAAGGTATTAAGTAATGGGAAAAGAAATTACCAGAAAATCATGGTGTTATAGAAATTAACATATGTATAAAATCAACAAATTGGACATATCAGTTTGGTATAGGAAAATTACCTTCTTTTGAAGCAATACACCACATAAAGTGATGTGTAATGCTGTCAATTTTGCAGCCTCTCAGTTCCAGGGGATGTGAGAGCTATTATTATGCTTGCAAAGCAGTTGCAAGCATGGCAAGTATCTGAAGAGAAGGACTGAGAGCAGATATGCGTCTTCGTAAAGCATCCCAAACATGCTGAATTGGATTCAGGTCCAGTATGCACTGAATTGTTTGCTGCTGAAGATAATCATCCATGATGTGGCCCCCTGTGCAGTATAGCTTTATCAGCCTGTAGCAGGAAATCATCAACTATTGCCCCGGCATAAGGGTGCACATACTCGTCAAAGATGGCATCCTTATAGACCTGAGTATTCATGGCTCCATGTAGAAAGACATGGAGGTCTGTGTGTCATCCCAAAGAGATACCACCACAGACACAGACTTTGCCTCCTTGGTATGCATCTCTTTAATGGATGTTTGATGGAAGATAATGGGTTCCAGGTTCTCTCCCAATCAAATAACTGTCACTTTGGAGGCTAAAACCTGGACTCATCCGTAACGATTACAGCATGCCACTGATCAGCTGTTCAGTGGACATGTTGACGTGCCCACCTCAAATGTTACCTCAAATATAATGTGGCATAAATGGCTAGCAAATGTTGATCCTCCTTCATGAAGCCTTCTACGGACAGCAGACATATACTTCAACCTTCTGGTGGCTGCAGCAAAGGAGGATCTGAGATGAGTTGGGAATTGCGCTTCTATTCCTGAATTCCTTCGTGTGCATACCAACAAATATCAGTCATTGGTGCTCGTAGTAGCGGTTGGCCGTTCATGGCTAAACCTGCTGAATCTGTAGTTAGGAATTGTTGCAAAGTTTATGAACTACAGAAGAACTCACATTTAGCCATCTGATAATTTCTGTCTGACTTTGTCCTGCCTCGAGTTTCCCAACAGCTGTTTATCACAGTTCTTCAGGCCTGCAGATCATTGTTACGAATTGGCTATCCCAGATTTCTTATCTGAATATCACAGAAAAATTTGCAGGCTTGCTCTCAAACATGCAATTTTAGCCTCCTCACAGATGATGTACTCAGATTTTTAATTTGCATACTGCAGTTTTATTCAGCAACTTTTATTTGACAACATGTTGAAATTTTATATAGATTGATTTATTTTTGAACAAGTTATCACTGTTTTTATGAAATTTCCTTAATTTTTTTAAACCAGTGTATTTCTGGGTTTTTAAACCAGTGTATTTCTGGGTTTAACCAGTGTATTTCTGGCTATATGTATTATTTAAGCTGTCTCATCATAAACAGTATGCACCATATGCACCACACATTTTCTGTTCCTAGTTTTCAAATGGTAAAATTAGACTAGAAGAAAATTTCTAGTTAAAAAATTATGCATTCGTACTATCATGCAGTAATTATCAGTTATGTAGTATCACTTAAAAAAAATATTGAAGAGGTTGCTTTCACACAAAATGCTTATAATTTCCTGCCATGTTTGTTGATATTTTTATCATATGTAATGAATTCTTTGTTTGAAAATTTTCTACATGTATTGAGGTATTAAATTTGTATATGCAAATTGCTTTTGTTTTTAATGTTCAGAATGGCAATGTCATATCCTAAGACACAGCCTCTAGACTCACTCAAATTCTGAACAACTAGCTATGTTAAACTGTTAAAGGTATTATATGGGAGGGACTTATTACCCTGATAGAAAAATAAGTAATTTATAATATGCAATTTTAAAATTTAATTTGTTTTCAATGAATTTGCAGGAAAAGAAAATGAAACATTAAAATGTCTGATTGATCTCTCTTTGTAATTCTTGGCCAGAATTTATGACCTTTGATATACTGGTCCGAGACAGCTGCTAAATCTAACTCACAATTTTAAACAATCATGTATGTATTCAAATTTTAAAAAATTAAATTTATTACAGTAACTAGGATTTACAACTTAAAATAATAGCAAGACAAGGGCTCCTGTTGCAGAATGATAGTAACACAGAATAGCTTGACTTAACGATGCATAACAACATACAGAAATGATTGAATCTTAAGGGAAGATAAATACTTAGCATGTTTTTCTAACACAATTAAATTTAAACCTTTAAAATTTTATGCTAACAGTTGATCTGTAAGATCTGTATTTTTGTTATATTGCTAAAATTTATGAATCGGGTAGTATGAGAGCACTGTTCTAGAATTTAAGATCTAGGGCAGTGGTTCTCAACCTTTAGACTAACGCGTACCATCTAAACAAAAATTGAAAGTCTTAAGTACAACCACTACAAAGTACTACTACCACAACCACTCTACAACAACACTCAGATCGCATAAATTTACGAGTTTTAGAGAAAAAACTCAATCAGAATGTTGGGGTTTTAATTTTTGAATTTAATAGTTAAAAATACTTTGCTTCCTTGCATACGACTGGTTGAGAAACCCTGATCTAGGGTATAGTTATTGAAATCAGATCAGTCCTTCATTCATGTTGTTTCAGCCCAAAAAATGCTTTTTAATTAACTTCTCACTACAGTGTGTTTAGTGAGAAAATATTAATATAAAAAAAAGATATACTGTATGAAAAATATAAAAAAAACTGTTTAAAGTAAAATTATAAGAATCTAATACATTAATGTTTATTAAACTATTAGCAACAGATCAACAAAAACTTAACATCTGGAACTAAGGTGAAGGCATTTAATAAATATTTAGTGTTTTAGTCTGCTCATAAGTGGACTAGTAACTTCTTCCTTCTGAAAACAACATGAGATACATAAATTCATGGTTTATATGTAGTGGAAAGAAGGTATATAGAAGCAACACAATTTTTAGTAACACTTAACACACTTGATTAAGTCATTTTTTCTTAACATTCCATCTACCAGAGTAGCAAACATAAATTTAAATTAATAAGGCATTGAATATCACCTTCATCTCAACTTTAAATTTTGTCATTAAGAAGTTTGAAAATGATTATAATTTATTTTATAAAATTTGAGTTAGAAACTTCAGCTAAGTCTCACAGTAAAGGCAATAAACTGAAAAGATAAATCCAGCTAACAGTAGTGAGGTTTAGCCATTCTGAAAGGAGCTTAGATATGAATGGAGTTCCAAAAAAGAATAAGAAATTTTATAGTGAAACCTCTATTCTTATGTTCTGAGTTCATTAACCAAATTTTCGATTAGATATATTTAAAAAGTAAAGTGTTGCAGAATTCTGAGTTTTTAATCCGGACTCGTCGGGACTTCGGTGATTCTGGATTATCGGTTTTTCCGGATTATAGATCATCAGTTTAAATCTGGTAAGATGGCATGCAGAAATTATACAATTAAAAATATGAAAGCATAATTTATGAAATAAAGAGCAATTGTGATCTAAAGGGTGTCAAAATTTACAAAAAAAAAAAAAAAAAAAAAAAAAAGCTTAATATTTATTTGTTTACTTTATTAAACATTTCTTTCAATGCGCGCATGTGTCAAGCATACATTACGCATAGTCAAAAGTAGAAAATTGCAACCAGAAAACTATTTGATGTGTATTCGTGATATTTATAATAATGAAGAAATTGATTTAAATCATATCGGAGTTCATCGAGATGAAACATTACATTTAGTAAGGAATTATAAGCCGAATAAAATAAAAACATCTGCGCTGAAGATGAGGATTGTGCTGACAGATCAACTTCAAGTTCATTGCGCGCCGCGACATTCTCCCCCCCCTTCACGCAGAGCAGCGTGAAATTGATAAACAGATTTCGGAATGGTTAGAGAAACAAATCACCTCTCTGTCACTTTCTTCGTGCCTTTATCCATTTTTTGCAACAATTCCACTTTTTGTTTAATGGACATCTAAACATGCTTTCACTTTCTAGCTACTTTGGCAGTTCCAGAATCGGAAATTCTATTTGTCATAATCAAAAGTTCAAGCTTACTTTTATAAAATTACTCTAACAGTCTGCAAAAAATAATAAGCCGGATCCGATTCGAAGATTCAGGAACAACGCAATCTGCAACATTAACTGAAATAGATAATTAGATAATTTTAGCTTAGCTTATATTGTCCGTTATGCATTAAACATGCCTGCGTAAAGGTATTGTGCACATGCGTAAATGCATAATGTGTTTACGCATGCACAAAAAGTTTGTGGCTTTGAGGTCCGGATTATAGATTATTCCGGATTATGGACGTCCGAATTAAAGACCTTTTTGACTATATTTCAAATTTAACAATATTAGGCAAAATTATATTATGTCTTTCTTCATCCATCAAGAATAATTGAAAGAGTATTTCCTGCTCTGAAAGTGAATATGAATTAAATAGAAAGTACTTATCCTCTTGAAGGAATGGATTCCATTTGATCAAGGGAAATTAAAATACTCATCAACTAAATATTTTAATGCTTCTGAAAAAAAATAATTTAGCAGAATTGGCTAAAAACAACAACAACAAAAGTGATGATTTTTCTGATTATGCTTTAGAATTATATCTGCTGTAATATTTCATATGATGAAAAGTATTTAGCACTTTTCTTCTTGGATTTATAGCATTTGTTAATGACTTGTTACATGCGAAAACGTTTATATAGTGGATAACATCAAATAAGCCTCTGTTAATCTTTTTAGGAAAAGCAGCTTGGTGAATTACAGCAGTTGTATAATAAATGCACAAAAGAAAATGAGACTCTGAAATCTGAAATTGATGAACTGAAAAAAACTGCCCAAAGGCCTAAATCTGGGAGGTAGAATTATTTCTAATGCTATTTTAAATTTATTTTGCTGTGAATTTTGAGTCAGAATTAAAATGTACTTCTGTTATATTTATTATAAATTGTTATGTTTATTGTAAAAGGTTTCTTCAATAACTGCTGAAAATTTAATGATGCTGATGTTATTGTTCCATGTGTCTCATATAGTTTTATAATATATAGTTTATAGCATATAGTTTTATAATGTATAGTTTTTGTAAGTTATAAAACAAATTCTATAATGTTAACTTTTTATGAATGAATTACAGTTAAAGTGCAATAATTTTTTAATAAATTTTAAATAGTATCACATATGTTTGAATTTCAGAATGTATATTTCCTGCATTTATAAGGGTGATGTATTAATATATCTGTTTACCTACAATTAAAACAACATTCTCCACCATCCAAAAAAAAATCATAGTTTACGTATATTTAAAATAGAGGAGAAAAGTCACTACACCTATGTATAGTTTGTTCCTTTCTGTTAAAACATCACTCTGATAAAGTCACTGAAAATCTGAAAGAAAGAGACAAAAGAGTAGGAGCTGATGTAACAAAAACCACCTTAATCCATAAAGCTCTGTCTACATGAGAGACATATCTCCAAACAAGTCTCCCTTGCAGACATTTCCCAAATAAAATAAGTAATAAACATACCAGTGTCTTTGATACTTGGCTTCTCTTTGGCAGGAACTTTAAACTGCAGTTCTTTCTTTTTCAATCCATACAATAATGTTAAAAAATGATCAGAAACAATATTAATGAAAACATGGAAATTCTACTTAGTCCCTTCAAATATAATATGAGCATTCTTGGAATATTTTAAAGATATTTTGGCATCAAACCCAGAATTTCTCACAATGCATTTATAATGTATTAAATGAGAAGAATAAGAAGCTTATCTATCAAATTTAATTATTATTTTTTATTTCAGTAATGCCATGGAAGCTTTGCTGAGTAGAGACAGTTCAACCAAAAGTTTGCAGGTGTGCAGGATTTTCCTATAAATTCTTTTAATGTGTTTTTTCTTTAATTATTAAAACTTTGATAGTTTGATAACATTAATTGCTTAAAACAGTATTTTGTATTGATTGCTGTCATGTTTTCTGTGTTACGAAGAAGCTTGCAAATTTAATTAAATCAAATTTTTGAATTTCTCTTTTTTTGAAAGCTTAAAATACATGTTTATTTTTTTATTTCAAATTATATTTATAATGCTATTTGTATTTAGATGGAAATAATGCTGAAAAATGAGGAAATCTGGAAGTTAAAGCATGATCATCAACTAAGAGAGAGAGAACTGCAAAATCAGGTGGATGAACTGAAAGATAAATTACGGAAAATGGTAAATTTTTTAATTAGAAAAAATACATTTGGATCAATCTGATAAGTTGTATTCTTTTTTGAATTTGATTTTCAGTTTTGGAAATAAGTATCATTAAAGGTACTGAACTTCTAATTGCATAGTTGCTACTTCTTCCAATTTTTGAGGTCATCTCAGAGATTCTTTGTATGTCACTAAATCTCCCAGTTTTTAATTTTTAGCCTTTACTAAGTAGGACTACAAAGAAAAGTGTTTTCAGCAAGAAAGGAAATTTTTCGAATTAATGAAAAAGTGTACATTCCATTCTTCCATCTCTAGTGATTCTCAGCTTAATGTTTCTTATCAAATTTTATTTGATTTGAATTTAATCTGCTGTAGATGTTTGTAGAACTTTCTGTGAAAATTTAACCAGTATTTCATCAGTTAATATTTGTATTTAACTTTGTTTTGCATCAATACATGATACATTACTATGTTTATCCATTCAGTACTATGTTCATTAATTACTAGTTTTATTTTTTTCATATTTAAAAATACTTTGATAGATAAAAGTTTTCCTTACCTACTCAGGATTTTTTATCCTGCATATGAAGGATAGAAAATATGTAGGGCAATTTTGCAATAGTCTCTTAACGTTCTAATTTAATTTGGATATTTTCTCTCTCCAATCTTTTCATAATGCTGAGTGAGATGGTTAATTCAGAACTTAAAGTTTGCAAACAAAAATCTTTCTCCTTTTGAACTAGGCCTCCGTATTGAACAACACACTCACTTTCTGCTTCTCTCGGTGCTTAGATTTGTGCTGTAACTTTCTCTAATATTTTTTTTAAATGTAATGCTGCTGACAAGACTTCATGAAACCTAATTTATTTGTATTGAATGTTTGGCCAGCAAAATAGAAAACAATATCTAAAATCTGCCTTAACTGCATGTTTATTCTTCGTTACTCATCTTCAATGAACGTACATTATTACATTGTTAAAACAGAAAAATAAGGATTGCAAATTTAAGTTGAATTTTGATTTACATATTTTTATCTTACATGTGTATATTTTTGTGTTTAGTTACATATTTTGCTGTACTTCAATAGGAAATAGAAAATTTCAAATTATCAAGTGCTGAAGAAGAATTAAAATCTAAGAAATTGGAAATTGCTCTTTTAGAACAAAAGAGAGAAGAAGTAAGTATTTCTAACAAAAAAATCTTTTATTTTATATGCATATCTTTATCTGTAGCATGTATATCTAATGATCTTTTTTATATCATAAATGGTAAATAATTTTTATGTATTGCATTATATATGTACCATATGTTAAGATGATGCTAATAAAGTGAAGTAAGAACTATGAATTATCATAGTTCTGTGACATTACATTTGTGTTAAAAATTCAATTACTTAATTACATTTTTTGATTTCTTGCTGTGTTTTTATATCTAGAAGAAGGCCCTTATTAAATTTTACAGTTTTCACTGAATCCAAAGTGGTTTGCCATTTTATTTTACCTCTGAATTTCATGTGATGCTATTCTTTTCTGTAAAGTGCTGATTTACTTTTTTCTGCAGTGTGCTTACTCATTTCTACATTTCATTATTTACATTTCTACATTTCATTATTTCATTATTTCTTTACTCAATTTCTACATTTTCATTTATTAATTTTATTCAGTATTATATTCAGGATTAAATTCCTTTGAAGGCTTAACAAAAAGGTTTTCCCCGTTTTATAAAAAACTTGTAGTAATAACCCTTGTATTTTCAATTGTATGTTTCATTACCTGAAATCATGAATATTAACTATAAAGTATCTGAAAAAGGAGCTACTTGCTGTATCACCTTAGTTATCAATTTTTGACATATATTTTTCAGTTGCAGAGTTTTTTTTAAATGCTGTGTAGAATTTTATGAAAATAGTTTCAATATTAAGTACAGGATTCTATAAACTGATTTTTTTGTAGGGTCCTAGAGTGAAATGTCTAATTAGTAAAATATATTGAATATTTTCATTAAAATGTTAAAAGTTAAATGCAAAAAGTTTCATATCTGTACATGCAGTAGTCACTAAGGTATTTGTAATTAATATATTTAGAGCTAGCTGGATATTTAATGAGCAATAGTATTTCATTCAGTATTGAACCTATGATCAGCAAAATAAAGAGCCTTTGTTTTGTGGTTTTCTGTTTTCAAATTTTAGAGAATATTTGATTTTGGTTGAAAATATTCATTCAAGTGTGACCCAAGTTTGTAAATTTGCCCTCTTAAATCACTACAAGTTTCACATATAGAATATACAGACTTTTGTATGCTTATAAGATTCTCTACTTCAGGAGTTCCCAACCCTGTGCCCGAAGGCACCATGGTGTCCACCGATCGTTTAACATGTGCCCGCTGCTGTGCGATCACAATAAAAATGTTTTAGTTTTGATAAAATTCTATCTGAAAGTTTTCTCATTCTTAATAAAATAAGAAGTATTTCCAGTTATGGAAATATGTGTTTCACTCAATATTGAACCTGTAACCACTTTTATCGAAAAATACTTGTATTGAAAACTCTATAATGATATACATTATTTAAAAATAATAAATTAATAAATTATTCATAGTTAAATGCTAAAGTATATAAAAAAGGTTAACTGTATGTGCATGATATTTTAGTATAAATTTCTTACTGGAAGTAACTTAATGCATATACATAAGAGTTTCTGGTTTAACCTAATTCTCAAAAAAGTAATATAGGCATGAATGCTATATAGTATAAAATAGTTTCAAGGGATATGGAACTGTAAAAACCATTTTTCTATCAAAGAACCAGATTAGCAAAGGTACATCAGTCCAAATCACAGATGCATATTTATGCTTATGGTCAGGGTTTCCAAATGAAGGTAATAGGTGATACATTTTGGGGGGTAGAGGATATATTTTAGTTTATTGTGGCTCATTTTCAATCAGAGTTCATTTTATAAGTAATAAATTGTTTATTTCTATAAGTTTCAAATATACGTATGCTATGGAAGCTTATGAATACATAAGTATGAAAAAAAAATTCTATTGGTGTTAACATTATGACTCTGGGGGGGGGACTCTATTAATATTAACATTGCACATCCTGAAAATTCCAGTTTATATAACTTGCTCAGTAATTATTTCTTGGTATATAATATTCTAAAAATTGGGTATTTTGGAAATATTATTTTTACGTGATATTATTGTGCAGAGTAATTCAGAAATCGCTAAACTTTTTTTCTAAGTATTATTAATTCTAACAGTGGGAAGCATTTGCAAGTTTTGATGTGTGGGGTAAAATATTTTAAAAGCGTGTTATAAATTGTAAGACTATTGTAACCACTCATGTGTAATAATCCCAGTGACCAGATGAAAGTGTGCAGAATGAAAGCCCACAAAAAACCCCATTGTGATAATTGCACACATATGCCAGATACCCACATGGATGAAAGTGCACATAGATAAAAAGTCCACACAGATAAAAGCTTGCATTGATAAAAGTCTACATTTTTAAAAGCCCACAGGAATATATCTATTTCGTGTTTATGTAGAGCACATTCATGAAAAAATATAAATGAAAATTAAATAAATTGAATTAAATTTATTACAAATAATTAATAAAAAGTAAAATAATGGAAGACATTTTATTTTGTACTTCAGCTGAATTTAAGCCCTATATAGATGTATATATATATAACTCATCCAGAATGTAAGTACTGTTTGGATATTAAGAAAAGTTTAGCAATTTTTTCCATTTGTATTTTATTTCAGAAAAGTTTACACATCTTAAACTACATTTTGGCATTTTCACCATGCAAATTAAGGCATGTATCGTATCTTGGCCCTAATTGCAACATACCTGCTTCATAGAATCTTCCCGCCTGTGAGCTGAACCATTTCTGAACATTTACCTTGATCTCATAAGCATTTGCAAAGTGCTGGCCATCAAAGAGGTTTCTTGAGATGAAAAAAACAAGTCTGATGGAGCTAGGTCTGGACTATTAAGGAGGGCAACAGAATTGTTCCCAGCAAAATGAATCAAGCAGCTTCATCGTTACAGCATTGTCATGCACGAACACAATACCAGAAGACAGTAGTCCACATTTTTTATCCTGTATCCTGTGCTGTAACTTCTTCAGTGTCTCATAGTAACCTGTAGCATTGATTATTGTGCCTCATTCCTTCCAGTTCACTAAAAAAAATTCCTTGACAGTACTAAAATATGATGCACATGATTTTTCTTGAAGAAAGAGGTGCCTTTGCTTACATGGATTTCAGAGAATCAGTATGCCACCATTCTAGTGACTGTCATTTCATTTCATTTCAGGTGTCTTGTATTCCTTTTGTTGCATAATGCTGCAAAAAATCTACAAACCACTGTTCTTTCTTAACATTCATTGATGTTTTCAGCAGGGCTGTGGAGTCAGAGTCATGTTTGAAATGAAATTAAAGTGAATTGAAAAATTTAATGACAAACTGAGTTATTATTTTTATTTATGGATTATATACATTAATAAATAGTTATTTTCTATTTTATTGACATATTAATAAATAAATATGAGGGAGGAGGATGAATGTGATATTTGTGTGATATAGTGATTAAACTGATTCATTTAGTTGCAAATCTCACTGGTAAATTTAGGTAAGCAGCAATAGCAGCAAGAACTCCCAAAATTGATGCCATTCATAGGAAGCAAGCAGGAAGAGGAGGAATTATTGATCAAGCAATGCGATGAGGAAGTACATACTTGATAATGTAGAGGTTGTTAGAATTAAGAACTTTATTGGGAGGTGTAGATAACCCTAATGTTTCACTAACAGAAAGACTGTGGAATGCTATTTCAGAATTGGAAACTCTTCTTTCTACACTGTATATAGCCTCAAAAATGATACAATCTGAAGAATTAACATGAGGTGAGAATGAAAGAATGTGATGTTTGTTCTTTCTGAAATGGCGTGTTAATTGCAGAAGGAATCATTTCTTCAATGAAGATAAAAGAAACTAGTTTGCTAGACAATGAGATCTTGCTGGGTTCAATATATGTAGATCCGAAACACCGAATTTTGTTGGATGACGAACAAATTAAGAAGGCAAAGAAAGCCATCTCTGAACTTTCAATAAAAATGAAATTATTTTCAGAACAATTGGAATATTCAAATCAGGACAGTCAAACTGCAGACATTGCAACTGAATCATCCTCTTTCAGTGATGAATTAAATTTTGAGAAATGTGTTTGGATAATATTGAAAAGGCTAAGGCAAAATGAATGAAAATAAAGAACCAAGAGCCTTTAGATATGAAATTGAAAAATTACAAACAAAATTTCTACACAGCCTTTGAAGAAATAGAGAAATATGATCATTCTTACAAGACACCTGTTTTAGAACTTATAAAAGTCTATCCTGAAATGTTAAAAGTGGCCCTAACAATAACAACTCTTTCTCCTACTCAAGTCAGTGTGAAAAGGCTCTTCTCAGCTCTGACGTTCATCAAATTGGATCCTATGGTCCCTCCATCAAAGAAGATCTTGCTCAAATGCTATGCTGTTTCTTAGAAATAACTAATGCCAGTTTTTCCATTTCATAATAAATGCTAATTAATATAAGTAATTTGCTATGCCATCAATATTTTTCTGTAGCATATATTATGTCTTTTATATTAAAAAAATAAGTTGTAACAAATGTGTATATGTTATGTTAAATACTGGAAATTAAAGGTTGTAATTTAACTTTTAATTGGTTAACCAAACTTACTGATGGTGCCAGACAACCACTCGCCAAAAATCAAAATAAATCAAATTCATATATCATAAGAATTATCGTATAGTGATCTTATAGTTTAACTAGTACATTAAGCATTGTGTATTTGCACCCGGGAACTGCCGCTGGAAATGGCTTTGTTAACATTCAGGTTCCCTTTAATTTTCATAAAAATCCTAATTCATAGTAGAAACAAAAATTTTCTAACCAACATAGCTTACCATTCAATTAACACAAATAACACAATAATCATTTAAACTGCATCCTTATTAATTATATTCCAATCAAATGACATTACATATTATTTTTAGGTTTAATCCTCCAGAGGTTAAAAGGAAAGTTAAACACATAAACTTAAGAAAGGTAGTTAAAATTTCATATTTTCGTCATGATTAATGTAGACCTAGGTATTATTTAAAA